AAATCTGAACAGACATGGGCAAGAGGAGCAATGGCAGTTTAAGTTTCTTCCTACTGCTCCCACTAATGTTCCTCAATTCAGATTTGGAGGCACTGTGAGAGAGATCAAGTGGTGAGGTGGTATCTTATTGGACCAACTTCCCTGGTGAAAGAGGCAAGCTTATGAGCAGCTATCTCACTTGCCAGCAGAAGTTGGTCCAATGAAAGAGACTACCTCATCTTGTCTCTCTAATAACCTGGTGCTCTGAATTTTTGGGAGCCCTGCACAGCTGCATAGTCTGTGTATGGACATGGACAGCTCTGCCCCATAGTAAGGTTAGTTCATTCATGCTCAGTCACTGCATTGCATGCCTTATTTCAAGGAAGGAATTAATCCCTTGTAACAATACATGATGAGAAGGGAAACTGAGTCAACCCTGTTATTCCATAACCATAACCATGTTTTCCAGTTCTCCACAGTAGGACTGTGAGTATAGAGAATGCTGGCTGAGACCATTGTGGGCATGGGGAAAACCAAACTAACTGATGAATCATGCCCTTCCTGATTACACAAGAATATGGAGAAGGATGCATCTTCCTTCACAAATGGTGCCAGAAAACAGCCAGTGTACCCCCCTGAGGGCACTTGAAAGAGTCTATTGACCTTCAAGGTACCAGACACTATTACATCCTTTGAATTATGTCTTGTGCTTGGTACTGTACAAACACATGAGAACACAGACCCTTCCCCAAAGAGCTTGCAGTTCAGTTTAAGGCCATACAAAACATGTGAAAAACAATAAGGAAGGAAGGAGAGGGAACCATAATGAGAACATAAATTTACACAGACTATGTGCACGCTTTATTTTTCAGAGTCTTCTCCTGAGTAGCCCTCTACATAGTAATTATCCCCTGACCTTTTCCTTTCCTGTAGTTGCCATGGCAAAAGTTGAGGAGGGCTTTGAAAGAGTGGATATAGGCTATATAACTGGGGGTTGGGTGTGTGTCAATTGCTTTATGTAGAATGTGGGGAGTAGGAGGAATTGTGAAAAAGCTTGTGAAAGCAGACACATGAGTGGAGTTTGTGCATAGTAAGTAGAAGCCTGCAAGATTGGTGGTCACAAATATTCATTTGAATGTTAAATAGCTTTTCAGTTGAACCACGATTGTATCTTCTTCTCTTCACTGTTTGTGAACATTTCAGTGAATAGGTTTTCACACCCTTGGGTGGCTGGAGAATGACTATTTTTCATGTCAATACCTATATTTGCATGTGAGCAATGATATATGCAAATAAACAAGAGTATTTTGTTATTTCTTACTAGCTTTTTCATTATTCTTCTGTTCAAAATACTGTATTAAGCATCCAGTCAGGACGAAAGAATTCTATGAGACTCATATTGCAAATGAGCAAACAGTCAAATGGCAAAACCAGTCCAAGCGAAAAATGCATAAGCAACCATTAAGCTGGAAACTGTTCATTTAAAATATGAGGAAAGTATATACGAATATAAAATACATCTGGATAAATTAAAGTCTGATCATAAACATAGGTCATAATCTATTGGATGATTCATATGTGATGAAAATGTGACCCACGTGAAATTTGAAAAAAAAAGAACACCGATTGTGTATTCATAATTTATATACACAGGCTCCGGTGCAAGTGGGCTGGTATGGTCCACTACACCGCACCGTCAAGTTATTTTTAGCTAGTACAAAATGTACTGAAAGGACTCCTTGCTGACCATCCCCAGCCGCTCCACTGGTTGCCACATCTTTTTGTACAGGCCTGGGGGCAAGGCTGGGAGCACTAGGGTAGCTGGAGGAACTGCCGGTGTTCTTCTTCTTTCCCCACTGCCCCTTCCAATGGGGAAATGTGCAGAATTCCCAGCCCCTCCCCCATAGCCCTGTGCACAGGCACAGCTGCATAGAAGGGCATCAGAGAAAGTAGCAGAATGGCCAGCAGCTCCTTTGGCTGCCATACTGCCCCGCCAACCTGCCTTCAGGTAAGGCTGTCATACGGCCCCGCCAACCTGCCTTCAGGTAACATGGGATGGGGAGGAGAAGAGCATGGGGGTCCCGGGCTGGGTGTGAGGTGGAGTCATGTACATGGTCATATGGGGTAGTCAGATCATGGCCCCTTTTTAGCTGGTGTGCCCTCCCCTCCTGTAGCCGTAAGAAATGTGTTTACTTCTTACAGCCCTGTATAGAGGTATTACAAATGCATGGGCAAATGGGATAAGAACATGGCAAATGACTAATTAGGCATTGAACTAGCCATCTTCATGCTATTTAATCTAGGCCAAATGTGAAGTTTTGTTAATTTCATGTGCCTATTGCGGGAATACATTTGCATTCATTGTGTATGGACCTTGGACTTCAAATATTAGCATATTTATTTTTATCAGTTAATATGCTAAAATAGCAAGAGTGTATTTCTGCTGGCAAGGAATACAGCAGCTGCACTGGACAAAGCATAAGTATTATACCAGAAGAACTAATGAAACAGAGCATGAATGGATTATTCTTTCAAATGTATTTGGCTACTCCAGTGCATCCTGTTTATGTTTTTATCACTTTCTCTCACACTGACACTCCCTCTTGTTGGCTTTCTACCAGACAGATATTAATAACCAGTTGTTGCATTTTTAAGAATTTCCCTGGCTCTTGGTAATTGCTCTTCCTATTGCTTAAACATGTGGAAAAGAAATGTAAAATTCTATAGCCATATCCCTCCGCTGCTTAGAAATTATTTTTAAATAGTGCTGACCCTTTGAAATTGCTGTTAACTTGCTATCTTCCTTGCATTCCATTTTTGTTCTATATTCATTTCAACCCCTCCCTTCTTCAAACGAAGGCTTTATCTTCTGACCCTAATTTTTTTCCCCCAATCTCAGTGGAGCCTTATACTAGTATAGAAAAAGTATGAGTATAAAGAGAATCAAGAATATTAGGCTACATTTTAATAGATACTAGTGCAAGAGTGGGGAATCGTTGGCCTGCTGGCTGCATGTGGTTCATCAGGGTTAGCTACAGGTGGACTGCCAGACAGTTTGTTTACCTGATTATATGCAGGCAATGAGCCCCTGCAGCTCTCAGTGAACACAGTTTGCAGTCCCTGGCCAATTGGGGCTGCAGGAAGCAGTGGCCCAGCCCATGCCACTTCCTGTAGCTCCTATTAGCTGGGAATGGCGAACCATGGCCACTGAAAGGTGTGACTGGCCATGCCTGCATATGCTCAGGTAAACAAAGCATCTGGTGGCCCTGACAAACTGCTTGTTGCCCATAGGCTGGAGGTTCTCCCCTCCTGCCCTAGAGAATTGGTACACTAGAACTCTGCTCTACTACCTGCATGCCCTGACATATCCTCTCCCATTCACAACTCACCTGCTATCCTGGGAGAGGTGAGTGTGAAACACAGGACATGACTATCACGCACTTTTGCCAGCTGGGAGTTTCCTTCTAGTGGAATTCCCTACTGGGCCAGATTATGGCCCCTTGATTCCTACTGAGTGGTGCAAAAAGGCTTCAAACTGTGTAGAGAATCTGGCCCACTGATTTCAGGGTGTGATTCCACTGGAACAGAGAATGAATAAGATTATAGATCTCTGTGTTAAGGAAGTAGGCAGTCCACCTGTGGTGCCTATACTGATTTTTGTTTCAAGAGAATGCTTCCATCCCAAGCCTAGCATTCCTTCTTCATTCATTTGCTAAATGATATTTATAAATGTCCACCTGCATTCACTAGCATTTGGTATGGTATATTGAGAGCACCGTACTGTATAAGATTAATGTGTCTTCCAGAGCCATTATAAATCAGCTTGATTCCCAGCATATCCTTTGAAGTTTTATGCCAGTATAACAATATAATATAATCTCTCCCAGACTAAAATAAAATCAATCCCCAATTGACCTAAATGACTCAATCCTATTACCAATCCAGTTTTTGTAATATGAATTTATTTACAAAGGCTCCTGGTTCCCCTCCCCCTATTATTTAGCATTAGCTGCCCACATAAGTGATCCTAGTATTTTACAAACTGCCACAACGTCTATGAAGGAAGGAAACATCACCTCGCAAACAGACATGTAGTAAACTGCCCTTTGCTGGAAAATGTTATGCTGTTCAAAAAAAAGTTATACTGAGTAGATAGTATAGAACAGTGCTCAGCCTGAATAATCTGAGAGGCAGGCAGAAGACTTTGTAGGGCTAGAAAATGGTAGTCCACTTGAGGAATTAATTTTTAAGTACCCATCTATTTTATAGGCTTATTTTCTAGCACCCACCTTGTCAGTATGGCCGTGTCCAGACTCAGGGGTTTTTTCGGGAAAAGTAGCCTTTTTCCGAAAAAACTTCCCCTGCATCCAGACTCAAGCCGCGTTCTTTCGAAATTATTTCGAAAAAACGCGGCTTTTCTTTCGATGGCGGTAAACCTCAATTTACGAGGAAGAACGCCTTCTTTCGAAAGTTCCTCTTTCGAAAGAAGGCGTTCTTCAATGTAAAGAGGCCATCTTCGAAAGAGAGCATCCAGACTCGCTGGGTGCTCTCTTTCGAAAAAGCGGATTTCTCTTTCGAAAGATCCACCTGCAGTCTAGACGCGATCTTTCGAAAGAGGCTCTTTCGAAAGAAGCCTGCAGTCTAGACATAGCCTATGTAACCATAGCTATATTGTCTTTTGTTCCCATGGATAAGCAAACAATTCATCCTCCAGAACAGGGCTGGCCCATAATATTTTGGCACCTGAGGCGGGGAGCTCAAAGGATGCCCCCATTCCTTTTCTCCTGCCTGCCTGTTATGTCTCTTGTGCCCTTCTTCCTTCAGCACAGCACTCCACCATCTCTGTGCATCTAGAGCAGAGAAAATACATATGCACCAGCAGCAGACACAATTTTCTACACTCTGAGTCCTAGTGGCGCACCCTCCCTCTTCCCCCCCAACACACCTGAGGCGGGTGCCTCAGTTTGCCTCATGGTAAGGTCAGCCCTGCTCCAGAAGAATTTTTGAGCCTTAAGGATAAATTCATTCTATGAGCTGACTTTATTGGCAGTAAAAGCCATCACTCCAACATTACCTTAAGTTTGGAGGCAGAATTTTTCAGGCCCCTCCTGCACATCACTGATTTCCAGAAATAAAAGACCATCTCTGCAAAGCAAGAATTAGAAAATGAACTTTGAGTTGTCAACTATTGAGGAAAACCCTGCTCCTAAAAATCAGCCCCTTTAACAAGAACTCTAAAATAAGTATGCCCTCAGAGAAAGTTTAAGCATTTGGGTAATTTAAGCATTTAAGATTCCTCCCTTGTTTGGTTTTAGCTATGTAGGTTGCTCATTATCTGGCTCAGACTTTTGCATCCAGTCTTCCAAAAATTAGCCCAGCTTTCATGGTGGTTTGTAGTTTGAATTAAATACTCCTGACGTGAGGTTATACTCGAAAAAGGAATTGGTGTAGTGTGGTTCCATGTTTCTTACTGATTCCATCAAACTTGCTGAGGGAAAAGCTGGACTCCAACAACCCAATAGCAAAAGTTCTATAATCAAATCTTATTTAACAGTTCTGTTGATGTGAGTCAAACAAAACCCAGTGTTCTGCAGCTCTGTTAGCACCTGAATATTGGCTGAAACAAAACAGGAGGGAAGACTTGTGGATTTGGGGAGGCAGGGTTGTCACTTAAATTAGTAGTGAATGACTCTGAATATAGACAGGGAACACAGTTGTTGAAGATAATGGTGCCATTTTATACTTCTAAAAGATAGGGATGTATATGAGTAGTTGACTATCTGATAAGCAAATGCTTATCGGATAGTCAACACAGTAGTTGACTACTCATCTCTCCCCCCCCCCCCACCCCCCCGCTTGCTGTCTCTATCAGAAAGAGGCAGCAAGCCTGGGGGAAGAGAAGGGGGTATTTCAAAGCGGCAGCACCATGTGGTGCTGCCAGGGCTGGCCTTATCATGAGGCTAACTGAGGCAGCCACCTCTGGTGCCAGACTGTGGGGGGGTGCCACTAGGTCTCAGAGAATTGAGACCTTTCAAAGTTTTGGCCCAAGTGAGGAGGCATGGGGGCGTCATTTGAGCTCCCTGCCTCAGGTGCCAAAATGTTGTGGGCCGGCCCTGGGTGCTGCCGCTTAGAAACATCATTGTTGGTGTTTCAGGAGCTAGTCCTAGGCTCCCCGTGGCATTTCAAAGCAGCAGCATCACATGGAGCCCGGTTTCAGCAGGGGAGTCCCTAGCTGATCCTGGGCTCCATGGGGCACTGCCATTTTTTAATGCCGTGAGGAGCCTGATGCCGGACTTCCCACGGTGTTTCAAAGCAGCCGCGCTGCCTGGAGCCCAGGGTCAGGGAGGAGGGAGTCCCCAGCTGATCCTGGGCTCCACATAGCGCTGCCACTTTGAAATGCCACAGGGAGCATGGGGCCAGTGGGGGACTTCCCTGCTGGCCCCAGGCTCCCCACAGCGCTTTGTTCTTTGAAGTGTAGCAACACTTATCGACTAATCAATTAATCAAAATTTCACATCCTTAGTAACAGATATTACCAAACCTACCTTGTCCCACTCATATTCTGGAAGCTACATGTTACAAAACAACTTTTTTTGCTTTTCTGATCATAATTTCTTTTTAATAAAACCCATTTATTACATATTTGCACAATGACTATTAAATAACTGATGAAACTGGGTATTTGACAGTGTTACTTTTGTCTGCACCCCAATACTTGCTGGTAGTTGGGTTGACAAATTAAAAAATGCATTAGCATAACGTATAATTGTAAAACTTAAATTGGATTGATTTCCAGACTTGGTTGCATTCAGTTCTGTTTCCAGGCTAATATCTAAAGATTGCTCATACACAATTGTGCTTATTTCATACAAACTTTTATTCTCTTTGGTCAAACATGTTATTCTGGACAGTCTGTCAATATTTTGGTTTCAGCATCTACAGCTGTGGAGCTTTCATACCCCATGAGTTTCCTACTGTTAAATCCTTGCAGAGGTGACAATGTGTTTATGGAAAGCATCTGAAAGCTAATGTAACTGTTTTCAGTAACAACCAAGAATTTCACATCATATCAGAGGGGGGAGTTTTCAACACATTACTGACATCTAGGTATAAACTGTATGAATGATGTCCAAGGTATTCCTGGTATGCAACTCAGTTCACATTAGAATGTCTGTATTAGAATGTCTGTATATCTCTCTCTTCCTTCTTGGCTCTACTGTTTACATAAATGTGCTTGGCCTCACTTCAGTTCCTCTCTTTATTTGAAACTTCTGTTTCAATTGATGCATGAGAAATTCTCAGGAAAAATGAAGCTGTGGAGGACGACTCAGAAAATCTGCATGGATTAAAATATTAGGGCCTGATCCTTAGCTGGTGACTTAATGCCCCATAGGAGCACCAAAGTCAAGTCAAGGGTTTATATGAGCTAAAAATCTGTCCCTCTTAAATGTCTCTGAGGTCCCTTGAAATTCACTTCCTGTAAGTCTCAAGAAGATCAGTACAAAACTTGATGGCTAGATTTTCACATGGTTTTGTCAAATGTTTTCTTTGGCTTAGCTCCATGGACATGTCATTCTCAAATTTTGCTCTGCGTTTCCAGTTTAAACAAGTCCCCCAATCATCAAGTTTCACACGGTTTTGTTATGAAGCAGAAAACAAATGCAGGTTTTGCTTTCTTTAGAAGTGGATCTCGTCACTGGTTTGTGCATCTTAGCCAATCTTTCATTGACTCTTCTTTGAGAAATCTCAGAAGGGTAGCCATGTTAGTCTGTAACTTTAAAAACAATGAGAAGCCCTGTGGCACCTTAGAAACTAAGCAAAAGATTTAGAATCATGCGCTGTTGTGGGCAAAATCCAGGGTGTTGCCCACAAAAAGCTCATGATTGTATATATTTTAGTTAGTCTCCAAGGGCACGTCTACAATGTTAGTTTCTAAGGGCACGTCTACAATGTAACACTATTTCGAAATAACTAATGCTATTCTGAAATAACTTAGTCCAAGTCTATACAGCAGGAAGTTATTTCAAAATAGTGTCAAAATACTGTCAAGCTGGAGGACTTCTTACTCTGACTCCTGTAACCTTCATTGTATGAGGAGTAAGGGAAGTTGGAGGAAGAGTGCTCTATTTCAAAGTAAGTGTTGTGTAGGTGCTCCCTATTTCAAAATAAGATACGCTATTGATTTAGCTCAATTTGAATAGCTTATTTCGAGTTAAACTCTGCAGTGTAGATGCGCCCTAAGGTGCCACAGGACTTCACATTCTTCTTTGAGAGTTCAGATTATAATGCAAACCAACCAGTAGTTTTATGGGGTGGGGGATGGCTAATACAAACCTGGTCCTAAATGGCTTTGTTTTGATTGTGTTTTTACTTCATTCCAGTCATTGCTAGTTGGAATGCAGCTTCTGCAACAAGCAACTCATTGCTCTAGTTGCCTATTTACTGTACTTCCTGGTATCAGCTGGGTCACATGTACTGTGAGAATAATCTCTTTTGCAGCGTGCATTGCAGTACTTCTTTTGCAAGTTCCAACCAAAATTAAGAAGTGGAGTCACTTTTGATACTGAAAAGAACTTTATCAAATTTCAAAGGCAGAGAAGTTTACAAGTTTAGAGTGGGTTTCAGCTTTGTAGACCTTGAACTTTTGGTGGCAGTTGATGGTGATAGTAGTCAAAATGGCTCAGTTAAGATCTCAATTATGTGATTGGCTCTTATATTCCCTTCACAGAACTATTAAGAAAGTAAATCCACTCTCTAAACAAAAAAAGTGGTGTTAACATGACAAATGATAATGTTGTCATGTGCTTTATTCATTACTGTTGTGATGCTGGCAGGCCAAGTCATGCTAAAGTATTTAACTGGTCAATTCACTGGTATATTAGTATACTTCAAAGTAATGATTAGATGTACAATCATGTATTAGGTGTTTAAACTTCATGAAAATGAATAGGGTGTTTGCATTGATTTAACTCATCTGTTCCTGTTATAATGTAATAGCAAACATTTATATTGTGTATACTCTTGTAACTAAATAATCTCTCAAAGAAAGCTTCTGAAATTTTAGAGAAAATGCTAATTTCAATGCAAGTAGTCATTATGTACGATGGTCAGAGGTCAAAAGACTAATCAGTGCTTGATGTTACATTCCCATCACTATATCCCTGCCTTTCTTTCAGTTCAAGCATCTGAGGAAGTGAGCTGTATCTCTTGAAAGCTTATGGCAAAATACATGTTAGTTTTTATGGTGCCACCGGACTCCTTGTAGTTTTTGCTGAAACAGACTAACACGGTTACCTCTTTGAAATACATTTCATCTCCAGTTCTGAGACTTATCCCTCTGAGATTTACTATGTAACAGTTTTTGGTTTTAGCATATTTAAAAACAAGAAACATATACCTGATCTGGTCACAGCTTTCAACCACTTAAATCTCACTACAGTCTACCATGATTCTTAATTAATTTTATTTGTAGTACAGTGGATGTCCTTGATGAGTTTCTCTGTGCTGTGAATCATTCCCTCCTGGTGTTGTTTTTAGAGCAATTTGCCCCTGTAAAGTCAAGTTGTTCATTGTACCCAAACAAAATAGATGACAACTTTTTCAAGTGGAGAGACTGCAGAAAATGTGATTGTTTAGCTGTTCTGTATGCATGATGGATGGCCTTAAGAAATTGTAGCAGTTAGCTTGAAAACAATGCCATCTGACCTGGAATTCTATAGAGATGACGTGTAGGTTTCATAGGACACTGATGACATGGAGTAGTGGGGAAATGTTACCTTTAGAAATACGAAGGAATTATTTATTGGAGATCCAGATCATGTCTCCCCCTCCTCACATGAGTAGAGTCCTTGAGTGCTGGGACTAATAGTGCATGAGTTGCTCAAGTAGGATATGACCCAATCAATAAGTATGCAGCTCTAGGACCACACTCTGATACACTTACTTATGTTGGGTATCAGCTTCCTTCACAAATAGTCTTGCGTACATCTGCAGCGGGTGTATCATGATGGTGCACCATTGATTTAACTGGAGTTATGCTAATTGGCACCACCTGGACCAGGATCTGGACCAGTGATTTCCCTGGGGCTAGTTGGAGGGGGGGGAAGGTGCTACCCAGTGTGAGAAAATGTGTCAGAATCTGGTCT